ATGGTATGCTGGCATTTTGGCTCTTGACTGTTGGCAGAGGTGGGTGAGGTGTAAGAGAATTAACATGATGAAGAAATTGTAAAATTAAAATTCACTTCATTGTATATTGATATTTCTAGATATCAGACTACTACAGAAATCCACATGAATATCTCCATTTTTGTAATAGTGTGCATAGTTGATAACTCCTGTTTAATTTATTTCTGATGTACACATTATTGTAACACTAGAACAGTCAAACAGATCTCAAGGACAAATACTGAAATTGTCTGCAACTATGTTAATTAACTTTGTCAAGATAGCTTTCAGAAAGGAAGCTATATATGCATACACTCTGCTCCCCTCTTCTCATATTCCTGTTCCCTTAAGGAAACAGTCAAGGAAAAAGTATCTGATTTACTTACAAGTTAGTAAATCAAGATGTCCACCAACAGTTCTCAGGCTATTAGATCCTAAGTGCTCTTTATCTGCACACTACTGCACTAGTCACTAGGTTTTTATGCCTTTTTAATAACCTCCTCTTCCAAATTGTGAGGTGAATTGTTTTTTTTTAACTGCATAAAATTTCTAAATTCCTAAAAGCGTCAGCAATTTTGCTCATGCAGATAGTTATATCTATTTCACAAAGTCTTACTACTGCAGGAACTCATGATTTTGTTTAATATGGAAACCTGTAAAGAATTGAGTTAACAGTATCCCGGAAAAATGAAGACTGGAAGAGATCTACAGCAAGTTATTTTTTAGATATAGAATATATTTTCTACTGATAGAAGTGTTAAGGCATGATTCAGACATTTTTGAAGTTATTAAGACATCCAGTTGGAAGAAACAAAGCAAACTACAGACTCTTCCCACAGTAACTGTACAGTTGTATGGAAAAAAAATTTGCAATTTTTTTCACTTGTTTTTGAAACTGTTACATATACCCTCATGGTTGCATATTTTTTTAAAATAGTCACAAACTTTTTTGCAAGCCAATGAAGTAAACCCCTGGGACAGTATCATGGCATCATAGGATTTTCTTTTCTTCCATAAAGATTTATAGCCTGACTTAAATAAATACAAATAAAAAAATATTTTTTAATGGTAATTTTGGTTAATAAGAGAAGGGTTTATATTTTTATATCAGATCAGTGATGTGATTCTTTGTGGATTGTATTTAACCAAGTTTATGCCATCTCTAAAGTTACTATTTTTCAAGTAAGCTTTCTTATTTCTTCCCAGAATTACATCCTCAAACAGCCAGCTCCCTGAAAATAGACTATAAAGCACAACATCTGGAAATCTTATCAAAATATTTTTGGCAGCAGTATAACAGGAAGACAGTTAACAGCAAAAGGGCAAAATCTGGAGTTTTGCAACTGAAAGCAGAGTCTGGTATGGGCAAGATTTTGCTGTAACTGAGGTAGATTTATTTTTCTTAGTTTCACAAATGCAACATCCTGGCTATACTACAATTACATTTGTAGTTATTTTCCTACCCCTCATGATGCATGCTTGCACAGAGAAGCTATAGAAGCTATGGAGATTACAGCAGAATCACTCCTCTCCTAATGCCTACTCACCTACTAAACTAATGGTATTTGTTTTTGAAAACAATGAAAGGTTGATCTAACTTGTCCCAGTCCACTGCAAATTTTCATCTGTCCTCTTTTTAATCTCATTTTCTCCCATTAATTTTTCTCCCATTTTCTCTATAGAAATTGTAAGATATCCCTTACACACCTATGAAACTCCTATGTTATTCCAATATGTTTCAGCTGGCATTGTTTTATTGTGTTTATTTCCAGTTCCAAACTACCAATGTCATGACATTTAAGAGAGTTAAAGATAAGAAAAGCCTGCATAATAGAAGAGTCCTTCAAAGTTATGTAACTGCAAGTTCTATGAAAATACATTACACTTAGTTATGGAGATGAAGAAACTAGATCTATCTAAGCTCAGAAGTTAGACTCCTCTCTCTCTCACTCACAGCTTAGACGATGAAACTAAAATCAATAACACTGCATCTTAGTATTGATTCCATTTCTCATTTTATTTCTGTTAGAAAAGTTAAAATTCCATCAGAGTGATAGACAAACTATCTACCCATAAAAATTATAAGTCTGTATAGTCATATTTGTAGGTACTGTAGAAATATTCACATTTCTGATGCTGATGACCTTTGGACACTGCCTGAAAATGCAGTACCTGTTGTGAGCATATAAGTGTTCCCTTCCCTCTTGACACTGGATGAACACAAATGTGAGCCCAAATGGCTTGTCTCTTTTTAATTTACCCCATACTTCATAAGGCATGTGGATATCCATAGGAGAGAGGGAAGTAATACCAGTGAGATCTCTGGCGTAGAAACCACCTCCAAACTTTTATTGCTATTATCATTGTGTTTGCAGTCATAAGGAAACAGAAAACCAAGTTTTCATTAACACCATATCATGGTAAGACCTCTGTGTCCAAAGGGAGCTTTATACAGATACATGTTAGTATGAATCACAGAATCATCATAGAATATCCTCATCTGGAAAAGATCATCAAAGTCCAGCTCCTGGCCCTGCACAGGACAGCCCCAAGAAGTACACCCTGTGCATTGTCCAAACACTTCTTAAACTCTGTCAGACTCAGTGCCATGACCACTTCTCTGGGGAGTCTGTTCCACTACCCAATCACCTTCAGGGTGAAAAACTTTTTTCTAATATCCAGCCTGAATCTCTCCTGGCACAGCTTCATGCCATTCTCTCAGGTCCTTCTGCTGGTCACTAGAGAGGAGAAATCAGTGCCATGAAGATAAAAGCAAGCATGTTACAAACTAGCAGCAGAACAAATATGCCAGGAGCTGCCGCACACCCCTTCCCAGTGAGGCCAGGCATCAAGGACAGGCATTGCAGTTACTACCTTACAGAGTTTTTGCAAAAGCAGAATAACCTCTGAAAGTGATTGGAGCCAAACATAACCATTTAGGGGCACAAGGCTTATGTTTCCCTTGTACAATAGTTTTCACACTGGACAGTGGCATATCTGTGCCTTTGCAGGAATGGAAGAACATCTTAAGAACAGAAAAAAGCAAAATTATTTATAGTGTCTCAAAGACAGCCTCTCTGCCAAGGATCCAGTAAAATTTCACTAGGTGCAGTAGTGCTGGAAGACACAATATTCAGGGAGGGATGTAAACTCCAGGAAGCAAAATACATTGATTTCAGTCTACCTCCTTTATTCGCTTTTCCTCATATTGAAGTTCCCTAGCTTATAAAACATACAAACCTAAAGGTTGTTTCAATCCAGAAGTCTAGCTACCCTGTGGCACAGAAATTAGGTAAAGGTTCATTGTAAACACACTCAAGCAGTCTGAATTTAAACATTATTCACTACTGATAACTGTAACATGAAGAAAGCTGGTAGAACTGAACAAATCCGGGGTTCATGGAACATGGTGCTTTGCAAGCAGATTCAAGACCTAAAATGTAACTGAGATACTTGAGAACTATAGAGATAATTCACGAAAGGCTCTGTCAGCAGGACTTCTGCTCAGATGTCAGTACAGCTCTGTATTTGTCAGAAACCCCTACAGCTCTCTTAGGAGCACAAAAGGACTTAACTTGAAAACTGGAGACCAGTTTAGAGAGAAACGATGGGCTGTTTTCACAGCTACAACAATAATTTATCTAAAAAATACAAAATTTATTTGAGGTACAATCTGATCTTTCATGAAAAATTTATTTAAGTTTCCTGGCAAAACAGGCAGGAAAACATTTTGCATAAAGAGGAAGATTCTGGTTGTCAGAAGTCCTATTTTCTGTTCTCAAGTTTGGTTAGGCAAAGCCGTGGGTAAGATTTTTTTGTAAAGATTCAAAAGTGAACCCTGCAAACAGCTAAAAATAAGACAATACCTAAATCTCCATGAGAAATAGCAAGTATAGAAGAAATTATGAAGAAAAAGACTAGTAAACTAATGTGAAAATAAAAGGCATCTAAATTAAACACCAATCACATGCTATCTTGTACAGGGAAATGAAAGAAAAAACTTAGCAGGAAAAAAGAAAGGCAAAAGAAAGCCTTAAAACATAAAAATTATATAAGACCAAAGGGTCAGTCAGTTGTTGAAGAATGGAGAGCAATGATGAACAGTGGATATGGAAAAGAAGGGTAAACAAAAGATCAGCAAGGGAAGCAATGTCTTCTCTATTTCACCTTTACATTCTGTGCTGCACATTTCACAAACTCTCCAGATAGCTGCAGCACCATGGATCAGCCACAGGATCCATTAACAAACAGTATTCAAATATAAGACTTTAAATACCTTTCACATCACAAAAGGGTAGGGAAAAGACTACAGTGGCATCTAGGTTTATAAAGCATCAAAATAACATAAGGGAAATTGTGACAAATAATTTCACTGTTTTGACAGACATAACTTTTTTCTCCACACAAACATGTTTGTTATTTTCAATAACCCAGAACACAACACTTACCAACACACCCTTTAGCATGTGGATATAGTCCCACTGAGCTACATGTGAGCTTTTCAGAAATAACCTACTGGACCTATTCTAAATCACGTGGTGTGGACTAAATGCACGTATAGGGGTCTGCTATGGCATAACAGAAACTGCATAATCTAGTGTTGACTAAACCATAATGTCTAGACATTTTTTCCTTGAAAGCACTGTACTCAAAATTCTTCTGGGATGATCACAGCATATCAAGTATCAATTCTGCTGGGATGATACAAGCATATCACAATATCAAGTGCCTCACTTGCCACCTATCTTCTCAAATAGTAAGTCTATCACCAGATGGAGAAATTATTACACAGCTGTTTATACAATATCTTGTTGATTGTTAGTTTAGACTGCATTTACAAAACCAGCAAATAAATACTCTAGATGGAAAAAATAATATTATTCTTAAAAGCCATCATTTTATTGCAGGAATGGAAAGGGAGATGCAACAACTCCTTGTACATTTGAATATACTTCAAGGCAAAATAATCCCCTGTAACTCACCTTGATCTCTTTCATGCCATGTCCGACTCCCTGCAGCTGGTGAATTTGGAGAAGGATAGAAGTCTCCTGTTGGGCTTGGCTCCATATTTTCATCTATGGAGATAGTTTTGGGTCTTTTGCTGTTGAAGAATTGTGGAATTCGGCAGTGAATATGTTAATCAGCTAGTAGTGGTATATAAACTGTTTGGATTGCAACAAATATTTCAATAGAGAGTAATTCAGGCTTGCAAAGGAAAAAAATGGATATTAGAGTCTACATTAACTTGCACAGGTGGTGTTACTTAGTAATATGTAATGCAGGTATGTGCTTGAATTTTTCACCTGACTTAATATTTCAGAGACGGCAAGAATGTGAAACATAAAAGTCTACCAGCACTTCACTGAACAACCTAGAAACCAACTGCTGTAGCCTACCAAAGAAAGACTGTGTCATGAGGGTATTAAATATTATGCAGAAACTATGAAAGCAAAACAAATCACTAGAAAGTATTACTAACAAAGACAAGGTAGAAAAGGAACTTCTGTGGATGTGTTAATGAGAAAAAATTAGTTTACTGTATTTCATCAGGTTAAACTCCTAAGCTTTTCAGAGAGGTCTAGCCTGAAACAAACACTTTCCTCTTCTGACTAGTTTAATCAAAAACAACAAAAGGCCCATATTTCAAGTTACACCATATAAAATGAGGTAGAACATCAATACAGTGGAGGTAAGTCAAGGTTCTTCATAGCAATATATATAGAGCTGTTATATTGACTGCCAAAGAAAACTAGGATGAAGGTTTTAATGATATGTTGTTGTTATTGTCACTAATACCACTACTACAACACTGTGATAATTAATCCATCTATTCTAAATAATCCATATATTCTAATTAATCCAAGCACTTCTAAAATGTATGTGGTGCACTGCTAAACTTAAAATATGATGGAATGAAATAGGGGAACATGAGTAAAATAACTCAGAAGCACCAGGTGTTGGTGAAAGAATACCTCAGCCCCCTGACAGCCCTGTTTAAGCCTGTCCCACTGTGTAGACACTTCCTGACTCACTGGATTGCAGAAATGTGGGGCAATGACAGGTCCCACAGCATTTATGATTTCATGGTATATCAAACAATTTCATAAAACCATGGGGTCCCAAGAGGCCTGACAGACAGTATGTTATCTGGAAGCAGGAAGGAGACCACCGCAGGTCCCCTCCCTCTGTGGGCCCACTAGCCTCTCCTGAGGGAGGAAATGGAGTCTTTCTGAGAGACTAGAGAAGGCAGCATGTCGAACAAGGAAGAGGTGGGTCCCTCAGATTAAATTGCACCTGGAGCCTGTAACTATCTCACATGTTCCTCCTCGTTTCCACTCTGTTTGGAAATGATCCCTGAAGGAGTGAGGATGTTATGGATAAAGACACCTTGTCTTTACATACTCAGCTTCATGCCTTTTCCACAAGAAACCATAGCTGTCCTAACACATCTCTCAAGACAGAGGTCCAAGAGCGAGCTCCCAAAGAGAGCCTTTTTGTCTGCAACCACCCTGAGCCCTGCCAGCATGTTCCCAACTGCCAAACCTTCCTCCAGCTCAGCAGCATTTTTGCTATATGCATCTGTTCTCTTGGTAGGTGATTTAGCAAGCAAGTCAAACTCTGACAAAAGTTCTTACCATCTTCAATATCATAAGAAACAACAGGTAATTAATACAACACTCCAAATTACAAGACATATAACTTACATATCTGTACATAGATTGGGGTGACATAAATAAGTAGCTAACCTCACAAAATCAGAGGAAATTCATAAAATAGTTGGTTGTTGACAGTATTTGAGAACTGCTTTTCCTACACTATTAAACATGGTTCACATTAGCACTAACTTCAAGTTTTTACCTGCTTGGTGGAGAGGACAAAGACCTCTGTAGATTTACACCCGAATTCATATCGTGGTAATATGGCTGGCTTGGAAGCTCTCCAATTGGGAAGTTCACTCCAGTTCCCTGGGTTATGGGTGCTGAAAAACACACCATAACACGTCAAAGATAATTTTCTACCTTTTCATCCATCTTTTCATTTTTAACACTTGGACAAATATCAAGATGTTAGTGCATGTATCTAATTTTCTCCCTCCTGCAGAAACCAAGTACAGACAAGTTCTATCAGTGATGAATTATCTTCCTCAGAATCTAGAAATCCCTTAACAATTATGCAGGCATAATACGTTTGTTTTATAAGTGATAACATGGAATCACAAATATGAAAAAGATAACACAAACATCAAGCACTATAATGAATGATGCAGAGTTTATGAGGACAGCTAGCATTACTTATTAAAGAGCTGGGAAAAAAAAAGGAAATAACAAACTCAGGGATACAAAATATCCTTTTTCCTTAATGGTAACTCTTTTTTATTAATAATAGCCTTTTTGTTGAGAGCATGTTTTGCTGCTTTTTCTTTTACCCAATGCCACAGGTTCTGCTTTGCATATGTACACCTACACACAAACACATACACTCAGCACTATCTTCACCTCCTGTGTACCATACAGACTGGCAACTCAAGAATAAATTATATGTTACATATTGCGGTGTATTTACCTTTGTTCATTGTCTGTGCATTGTGCATTTTAACTACCTTTGGAACTTAAAAGAATAATTGCACGTTGTGTAACATATCTGTAGGTTTGTATTTTTCCTGACAGTTAAAGTACAAGTCTGTTGCGGCTTGACGTTAAACAAATGCATGGTAAGAAATCCCACAGAAACCACATGCTTTAAAGCTTATTATTAGAAGTATATCATGTATTACTGCGGCATAAGGCATGATTTCATAGTATAATTACAATATTGTTTCTTTTTTAATCTCAATAGCCTGCTACTTTAAAATGTTACTTAACCACCTGAAAAAAGAAAGCTGTAATTCACACATCCTCAGCCTCCTAAAACAACAAAACTGTATCTTCAGCAAGCACAGAAAAAACAGTATGCCTTAACACTGCAGGATGGCAATGCTCACTCTTTTGCTGAGGGACTTCAGATAATTTTAACTGTTGAATATTAATTTCTGACCACAGCAAATGAAATAACACATGCATTTGAATCCTTAGTAAGTTAAAGAAATTCTTCAAACATCCTGATCTGGCATGAATTAACACCTGTGCAAAATCCAGACAAACAGTTTTGGAAACTTGTGCCTCATTGGTTTTTCCTCACCTCACCAGAAAAGAGATTATTCTGGACCATTCAGTTTTTATAATGCTGAAATCATCACTGCTAACTATAAATTTCAACTATACTTCTTCTCCTCTTAATGAAGTCTTAGGAGAAATACTTTAGTAGTAAAGGGTGAAAAGAAACAATCAGAAAGCAATGTAAAATGAAAACGTGCATGGGTTTTATGCCATACTATGATAGCAAATTCTTAACTGTCAACAAAGCAGATCTAATTAATATTCTTTTTGGTGTTTTGGTTTTTTTTTTCCTGCAATAGAAGCTCCACCTGTCCTTTTATATTTGTATTTTAGGGGGGGGGCGGTGTTAGTACATTCGTGTGTAATATTTTCTGATGCCAAAAAAACCCTGATGTAATTAGAAATTCAATTACAGCCAGTGCTATGACTAAAAGAAACACAAGATTTAATACACTAATTATCTTTTATATCCATGCTGCAATTTTTCTTTTAGAGCTACAAATTAAAAAACAAACTAAAAGAATAATCAGGCATTTTAGCAAAATCCAAGGATGTTTAGGGCAACCTTAAAAAGCTGAAAGTCTAACAGAAGTTTTGTTACATATGGTAATTTTATTGATATATCAGACCATTAAGGTGTGCAGAGGTAGATAGAAAAAATTGATTCAATCTTTAAATATCAAAGAAACAGAAGAATCATAGAATCATAGAATTAACTGGGTTGGAAGAGACCTCCGAGATCATCAAGACCAACCCTTAAGAAGACCTTATTTGTTTTATTACAAACACATGCAAGATGAACAGCAATACTGTGGACAAACATATCAAAATTGTGCCCGGTTATAGATATTTTCTATGCAACTTACATCTTGCAGAGAAAAAACTTTAAGGAAAAACCTTCACTTGATTATAGCAGGCTTTAGAAATGATTAAACACAAATGGTAACTTACTTCTTGACACCCTCACAAGTTCTGACACGTTGAATACACCAGATTTCACAAAACTGTCCTCAAGGTACACTGAAAAAGATCACAGTACCATAATCAGTATAATGAAAAGATTAATAAATAACTATAGGTAGGTTTATACACCAGCTAACAATGGTATCAACAGAGTCCCAGAACTATAATACACAGATCAAAGTACACTGAAAGCTAATCACAGAATCTAATGAGAGCTGAAATTCTGGCAAAGCTAATTTTTAAAATATATAAAGCAATTTTTAAAATGTATATGAAAATTCACAAGCAATGCAGTGAGTCCCTAGCTTACCATCCAAAAAATGTCTGAAAACTAGTTTCTTTTATTTTTATCTTCAGATTTTAAGTCAGCATTGAACTAAGACCTGTATCAGCTGGACTAAGCAATTTCACCATAGAGCAGTCCTGTCCTTGCATGTGTTTCTGCTAAATAGATTTTTACTTAACTCTTACCCTGCTCTTACCAAATCACCATCTCTGAGGCAGATGAAGTGTTTACTGTTATTTCCAGTAAAAACAGAACTGGGCAAAACAGCTGAGTTATTCAGTGGGTTTTTTACATATATTCTGAATTATATATCTAGAAACCTACATTTAAGAAAACATACATTATTGGTTTACCTTAGGATTACTTATTCTAAGATAAATGCATATGATACACTTGGCCTTCTGTGAAATTCAGGCTTAACTTGAAGCTCTGCAGTGAAACAGCAGATGATAATCAAAACTTATCTCAGTACCGTAACTAGATAACCTTATGAAAAGATAGCTACGAAAGAGTTTTCTGTGGAAGTCTCACATAAATAATCGTTGTAAAAACTGTATGACTGAATTTGAGATTACAGGCCATCACAGCCTTTATAGATAGTAATAACAACTATTTACCAATAAAAATATTTAGATCTATACTTGGTTTACATTGCTGCTTCAACAGTATTTTTATTTGCTTTCCTATGAGATAGTGCACTAAGAATTTCTTACTGTGGTTTCTCTAGTCTCTTTTCTGAATTAACACAGCTTTCTTTCTTTTGGAAATAAACTGCCAATTTTCTGTTCCAAATGTTTGAATAAGTAAAAGCATGCTGAATATCTTAGCTAACAAAATAAACAAACAAATGAAAATTGCACCTACTGGAATATTTACTGATTCAGAAAAGAATAGTTCAGTACCACTTTCTTTGGGTTTCTTTTGGCAATTACTGCTTTCATCTCCAAGTAATTTAGCAACACGGTCACTATAATCATAAAAGTGACTGTAAAAGCAGTATACTTCACTTGAGAGGTATACCTGGATAAACCTCTACTTACTTTTCATTGTCAAACAAAGAGGGTAGAGGCAAAAAGAGTGGGTTTTACTGCTTACTAGCAGTCTGTCAAGTTCCACAGAACTGTCTACTCCATCACCTCTGGTATATTTACCAGTACAGGTATAAACAGCGCACCTGACAGCATAAGCTGAAAGAATTTGAGTTAATTCAACCAAGCACATTTCCTGACACCTCTGTTACACTGTCAGACCTATAACAGATTGTCAGTCTTTCCCAGCTGAAAACCATCCCAGAATCAAGCACTGTGGGTGTGCAGAGCATTGTAGGCCTGTGGGATCATCCTGAACAATGTTCTGCCAATGCTGTCATCTTCTCATCTTCCAGTCAGTGTTATTTCGTCCACTATACCTGCATGTCTTTATTTCCACTAGTAGCTCGCAGGTTTCCCTCTCTTTTTAATTCACTTCCTTTTGCATTTTCCTCTCTCTCATTTTGAACAGCTTCTTTCCATCTCCACTACTTATTCCTCTCTCGTTACCCTTCACCTGGATGTTGCAGGCCTCTGCAACCTTATATATTTCCCAGTAAAAGCTTTTCCTTTTCACCTTATGCATTCTCTTGTACTCTTTCTCCATGTTTTTTGTGTGGATAAAAACATGGTATGGCTTCTCAAATATTTGACAGAACTTGGCATGCCCATATCATAAAAAAATACAAAGAGTAAATTTTATTTTTCCTTTCCTTCTCAGTTTTTTGTTTTTAACCTAAGAATGGGCAGGCTGCATGAATGCTAGTAATTCCTTTAACAAGGGCAATCTTTCCCTTCTCTGCTTATTTCCTCTAGAAGGAACATCTGAGGTACTATATGGATGGGAAATTTCAAAAGAAAAATTTGGTTTCTTGATTTTAGATGCCCCATAAGTAAAGTGTGGCTTAAAGTCAGCATACAACCATGCAGCCAGCTCTGAAGCTGGTAATGAGACATGGCTAAACTTCTCTGCTGCTTTTTCAAACACCATTACCTTGGATGACATCTCTCATTCAAGTCAGACTAACTTGAGAGAAGCTTTTCCCAAATGTACAATAATCAAACTATCCTTATAGTGAGAACAAGGCCCAAGGCTCCTATTAAAAGAAAAAAAGCCTCAGATTTTATACACAGATGTGTACATGTGTATGCACATACACACCCCGACACACATGTTTCATCTTCAGTCTTCTTTCCTGAATTCTTGGTTTTCTTCTCACTAGTAGTATTGAGAATACCCATATAATATGAAGAGCAATACAGCATTTGCCTCTTTGTGTTAACAAAATGGGAGCAGGAAAAAAATGTTGACACCAAGTGATACCACTATTTATCATCCCCTTACAAAAGAATGCGTTGTGAACTGACGGATGGCGTCTTTCACCCAGGTTTCACTCTGCCTTGGATGGGCCAAAAATAATGACACCCACAGATATATGCAAATGCTTTGCCTGGAAAGAGAGGGATAAATCTCCACCAACTAAAAAAACAACTTGACTTTTTTCTCTATGTTATGTGATGAAATATTATTTAAAAAATTGATGCAACAATAAGTAGTCTATGTCACAGGCACTGAGCAACTTCATGCTGCGCCTTATATTCCAGCAGGGAAGGTGGACTCCAGTGGTGCCTCTGGGTGCAGAATAATAAACACATTATGTTCAATTTCCAGTAAATGTCAAGTTTCACCTAGCTATGAAGAAAATCTATGGTGTGTATATTACAGAACTATTCTTGGTTTTCAGCTGTGCAATAGGAAAATATCCTTGCCATTAAACAGCTGCTATTTGTTGCAAGAAAATGCACTCTCTATAAGACAAAGGTGAGACAATGTATTTTACCTTGTGAAACCGATCACCTTACTGAAAAAGAGTTAACATTCATATTCTTATTATTACACTGCATGCAACAGGAAAATATGTGGTGATACTTTATATAGTATAGGTCTTACTGGTTTCTTTGATTAAGCTTTCCCTAATGCACTGTTCACATTAACACGTTAAAAAGCCTTAAATTAGCATTCTTGTGTGTTTATGATCTGTTCAGTACAGACACTAATGCACTTGATAATAGTCTATTGTTGTATTCCTCATAGAGGATTTACTGTATCTTTTGATGATCATGATAACACCTTGCTGTCTTTATCATTCAGACCTAATGAAAGCATTGAGTATTGTCATTTACTAAAATTCATCTTGCCTGAGAGACGGCACTGTCTGAAATGCATCTTACTAATTGTCATTATTCTTAAAAATCTGATTTTTACAAAAAGAACATTTCTGACAAAACCACCATAATACAAGTCTGTATAAAGCGTCAGTAACCTCCAAACCCTATATATAACAGCGGACTTTTTCTGTATTTCCTTCTAGCTTTTGTACTGAGTGAATATAAAATCTGTCTTCTCTGCTTACCTTTTTTACAGAAAACTCATTTCTGAAAAATGTGTTTTCCAAACAATTTCACACTGGCCAGACCATTGCCATCAAGTATGAAAGATAAAGAGATTAAGCCAAGGAGCAGTTGTGATCAAGCTGCCATACACAATGGTAATGGGAGAAACCTTGAGTAATGCCTCCAACTGCTATAGAAGTCATTCTGTCTTAGTCCTTCTACTCTATTCCTGTATTATGCCTTATACTAAACCTTCAAGAGATGAGTTACAAGTACAGCTTTTAACCATTTTAACCATGCAGAGACTTACACTGAGGGGGGAGAAATAAAATTGTCTAAGCCTACTGAATGATAAATTCAGTTTGCACTAACAATTATCTAACAGGCTTGTTCTCACATTACTTAAAAGCTTACTAGTGACATTTAGCTTTACAAATCTTTAACCAGTCTTTTTATGTCTTCTGATTCAATTGTACTTTTATGAATAGAATGCCTGTTTACGTTCTGTTGCATATTGACTAGGGCCAAACCATAAAACTGTTTCCTGGTATTATTTTACATCTAGTTTTTTTCACTGATACTGCCTTGGTTTTGAGCTACTTATAAAACAGGGGTACAGATACAAACAGTGCTGGAACGAATTTGTATTTGTGCACTTTTATTTATGGATCTTTAAAAAGAGCAGTTACACAGCAGATAGATACTGAAGAGTGGTACTACTATAATACTAGAATTCTACTGTATAGTAGAATGATGCTGCACCTGTCTTACTGCTAGTATAATTCTAGCAGTATATATCTACTATACAGTAGAATTACACTAGCAGTAAGACAGGTACAACATCAGGATCTACTGTGAGAGGAAAGGCTGCAAGCTTCAGCCTGGTGTATAGGAGAGAGCTGCATGTAAACTTGAAATGTAATGTTCCGGATGCTCTTATAATTTTGTACAGCTATTTACAGTCCGAACTGGTAGTAAAAATTAGTCTCACACTGTTCTTTGTAAGTCAAAATATAGTCATCATACATGGAGTTCGCTTTCTTACCGCGTGCATTTTGAAACCAGTATCTCAAAAAGGGTACCAGAAACAGGTTGCCACCAAACCAGAGTATCTTAAAGGCAGTTATGGGTGGATACTATTAGTCAAGGAGTGACAAAGAAGATTCCAGTGACGATGTCACTTGAAACACTTGAACTATCCTCTGTCTAGAGAATAAGGCTATACTGATTATCACACACCATCTCCAGCCATGTGACATATCCACAGCTTGTTTTGGTTTGTTTTTCCTTAAAGTTGCAGGGCAGGAAACAAACACATTGCAAAAAGATGCCCTGACTCCACTGAACCT